TATGTCTCAGTTTGCTTTCCTTGCAACACTAAGAGTGTCTGGGCTGTCATTTGATCTTTTGCTAATACAGCTTCACTTCAAAATATGCTCCCTTCAAGTATATCTTTTGGTTTCTTCCACTCTTTCAGCTATATTCCCTAAAGCAGGGACTAGCAATATTCCACACAATTGCCAAAGGGGTGCCTGGACCATTCTGCATTATCTCACTTTGCTATGCAAATACCCACCATCACAAAACTCTCTTCTTTAGTGCTGTGGTGGGGCTGCATCCAGTCTGACAGAGGCCTGAGAATGGTTGGTGAGATGGAAAGGTGCTGGTGCCCCATGATCTTGCTATCTAAGAAGAGAGAGGGCTTGGAAACGCTGTCCCTAGACACGGGTCTCTCTAAGGGGATCTGTGTGGCTCCAGGGGATACAGGGTCTAGAAGGCACAGCACGACAGAACTGGGAAGGGGGCGCCGCGGCCTTAGTGGGATGCTGCTTTTAGGTCCTACAACAGCATTGGAAGAGTGACCACGCTGTCTCAACCAAAAATCAGAAAATATAGTCTGCTAAGGAATGTTGGTGTTATTGATGACACAGAGATTAGTTCAGATATTAACATGCTGACATTTCTTGGTTATACGGATGGAGAAATGAACAAAATATTTTAAATAAAAACCCTTTTAGCAAATCCAGGCTGGAGGGTAACTGTATGGCATGGACTGCAAATAGCCAAAGAGATAAAGGCAGGATGTAGGATCCATTTAAGGTACCTGAAGATGGTAGAAATCGTCCAAAGGTATAAGCATGGGAGTCATTTCAGCCGGAAGCCACGGGAATCAATCAGGCCTGGAAAGAAAAGGACTCTGTTTCTTAAAGCAAAAGGGCTCAGTGGCAAGGCTGGGTTGGGATGGGGGACAGTGTTGGCTTACTGGAACTGCAGCCTAAAACTGAAGATGTTCGTAACAAGAAGAATGGCCCTAAAAGCCTGGGCCAGAAAGAAAAACGTGTAAAACTGGGCAGTTTCCTTTCCTCAGCTCAGTTTCCTCATCTGTAAGAGAAGGCCACCAGAATGAATGATCATGGAAGTCCCTTCCAGATCTCATACTCCTTACTATGACTTTCACATCCCCTGGGGCTGAGTACATTGTTTAGCCCTTGGTTGGTATTTATATCCAGGTCTTCTCAGGGGACCAGTGGACTTTCTTCCTCACTGGGGATCCAGTGTCCCCAACTCCTGGCCCGTAGGCATCTGGCTATATATAGAAGACAAGCAAATGCCTTTCCATATTTCTGAATGCTCAAGCTGTATCATCATGCCAGGTGCAGTGGCTCACACTTGTAATCTCAGCACTTTGGGAGGCTGAGGTGGGTGGATCATCTGAGGTGAGGAGTTTGAGACGAGCCTGGCGAACATGGTGAAATCCCATCTCTACTAAAAATACAAAAATTAGCTGGGTGTGGTAGTGGATGTCTGTAATTCCAGCTACTCGAGAAGCTGAGGCAGAAGAATCACTTGAACCTGGGAGGTGGGCACAGTGAAGGTTGCAGTGAGCCAAGATTGCACCACTTCACTCCAGCCTGGGCAAAAGAGCGAGACATTGTCCCAAAAAAAAAAAAAAAGTGTCATCATATGGAGATCACATGGAGATGCAGGGATGCAGGGAAGATTCTGGATAACTCTTGATAGGTAACGTCACTGGAAGATCTATACCCATTTGGTGGGGTGTTGGACTGGACTGGATGTGGAAGCAGCACTCAGTGGTATATGTGGGTGGGAACATAAGGCAGTTTGCTTGTCGGTGTAACAGTAGGTATATCAAAGGTGTAATGTGGCTGCTAACACATCGAATTCAACTTTAGGCTGCAAATATAGATTTAAGTAAAGGAGGTGACAACCCAGTTCTACTTTGAGCCAATCACACAGTGGATGTCTGGAATGTTAGACTTAGTGAACTTTCCTGTCTCAAAAAAATATACACACAAACCAAACTGTGTAGTGAGAAAAGTGAGAGTACTCACTTTCAGTACATCAGTAAGGAACAGGCAAGGATGGGAACCCTCAGAACTATTTGAGAGAGGCCATAACTATCCTCAGATATCTGCAAGTCTTGTTATGTAAGAAGAATGAGATGTGTTTTGTAATGCATGTAGAAGCTAGAGGAAAACAGAGTTCAACATGAAGCAAAGCAAAAGTTCCTCAATCAAATTGTCCAAAGATGAAATTAAAAGCCTTAGAAGTTAGTAAATTTCCCACTCCCTTGGAGAAAGGAGAATGGGATTCATATTTGGTGTGTATCTAGGCACTGAATCACAGTATGTGCTTGCCATAAATTATCTCATTTAATCCTCATAATAAGCAATGTGAAGATTGGGGTTCAGAGAAGTTAAGCAAGTTGCTTAAGGTCACACAACTACCGCGGATTTTATTGAATACAAAAAGGCCATGTTCTTTCTACACCAACAACCAGCAGCCTCTTGGCAGGGATGATAGCAGGGAGCACTTAGTCATGACTGCCTTTAAGGTATTAGGCAGTCCCAAGAGTTTCAAACTGTAAGTCACTCAAGTGAAAAGAGGAGGAATCAGGATGTGTATTAAGGTGACAGATGAAGGTTTTATTCCTGTGCTAAGCCTGTGAAGTCCAGGAATTAGCACAGGAATAAAACCTTCATCTGCCACCTTAATACAGATGAAGGTCTGAGTCTTTAGCTCACTCAATCTGGATAAAATTTATCCTTCAGTTCTCCCATGGTTAAATGCAGTTCTGTAGTTTAAATGAACATGTGTACACGTGCATATCTGTGTCTGAGTGTGTGTTGTACCACATGATTGTGGGGAGAGGGGCTGTGGGAAAAACACAAGGGAAAAGGCAGTGAGCATCAGAGACTAGGTTTTTATATTGAAATTCTTCCATATTTTTCAAGGCAGTAGTGGCTGAAAATTACCTAAGCAAGTGACTAGGGAACACAGCCGGAAGGAGGCCTTCTGTATGTGGGAATTCATGAATAATGAAGATTGATTATATTTCCCTACCTATTTAAAGTATGGCCCTCTTTTTTCTTCTTAATTGATCCCATCTCTCTCCCTCATTCTTCCTCATGACTGCAGAATCATAGGCCCTTGGAATCTTACACCAACCTGCCCTGTCCTAGGCTTCCTGAACCTTTCAATCTCTCAGCTGCCTTAGCTGCAAAATGGGGGAAATAATACATATATCATGGGGTTGTTGGGAGATTAAATGAAATAGCCCCTGTCCCCTCCATACAGCCACCACAGAAGAAGCAAGAAAAGGAGATAGTATGAACAGTAATTGAATATAGGCCATCTATACAGAGGTGGGCAGCAGCATCTTGCCCTCCTCCACCACCACTATGCCCAGTACCTTGGTCAGGACTGACTTCTCTTGGGCATGGTACTGTATTAGGTAAAGCAAATAAGAAGAAATAGGGCCGGGTGTGGTGGCTTATGTCTGTAATCCCAGCATTTTGGAATCACCTGATGTCAGGAGTTCAAGACCAGCCTGGCCAACATGGCAAAACCCTGTCTCAAGTGAGAAAAAAAAAAAACAAAAATTAGCTGCATGCAGTGGCAGTCACCTGTAATCCAAGCTACTCGGGAGGCTGAGGCAGGAGAATTGTTTGAACCCAGGAGGTGGAGGTTGCAGTGAGCCAAGATTGTACCATTGCACTCCAGCCTGGGAGACAGAGTAAGACTCTGTCTCAAAAAGAAGAAGAAATAATAGGACTAGAAATTGCCTCTCTGGGAGAAGGCTCGAATGCTTCAAAATCCTTCATGTCATTGGAAAATCCTCTAGAAAAAGGAAGGAGATAGGTTATGTTATAATGATTGGTCCATGAGGTCGCTTTTAGTGATTTGTCTTCTCTGTTTTTGAAACCAAATTTGTTTTTTATGCATTGGAGGTGCAACTGCTATAGAAAACACTATTTAGGTTCCTCAAAAAATTAAAAATAGAACTACCATATGACCCCAAAATTCCATACATGCATAAGAATTGAAAGCAGGGTCTTGAAGAGACACTTGCACACCCATGTTCATAGCAACATTATTCACAGTAGTTAGGAGGTGGGAAGCAAGCCAAATGTCCATCAACAAATGAATGAGCAAACAAATGTGGGGTATGTGTGTGTGTGTGTGTAATATTATTCATTATCATTACGATCATATCATTACCATTCCTTACAAAGGAAGGAAATCCTGTCATATGCTACAACATCAATGAACCTTGAGTGCATCATGCTAAGTGAAATAAGCCAGACATAAACAGACTTTTACTATATAATTCAATTTCTATGAGGTATCTGAAGTAGCCAAATTTATACAAACAGAATGGCAATTGCCAGAGGCTGAGGGGACAGGGGTAAAGGGGAGTTGTTTAATGGGCATAGAGTTTCAGATTTGCAAAATGAAAACTTATAGAGATCTGTTTCACAACAATGTGAATATACTTAACACCACTGAACTGTACACTTAAAATGATCAGTAAGATGATAAATTTTATGCTATGTGTTTGTTTGCTTTGAGACGGAATTTCACTCTTGTTGCCCAGGCTGAAGTGCAATGGTGTGATTTTGGCTCACTGCAACCTCCACCTGCCAGGTTCAAGCGATTTCCTGCCTCACCCTCCCTAGTAGCTGGGATTACAGGTGCTGGCCAGCATGCTCAGTTAAATTTTTGCGTTTTTAGTAGAGCCGGGGTTTCACCATGTTGGCCAGGTTGGTCTCGAACTCCTGACCTCAAGTGCGCCACCCACCTTGGTCTCCTAAAGTGCTGGGATTATAGGCATGAGTCACCGTCCTGAGCTGTTATGTGTTTTTTAACACAATTTTAAAAAAAGAAGAAAAAAAAACCATTGAGGACCCAAAAAAATCACAATGGATTGATGCTTAGTCACTAGACACAACATCCTAAGTTCTGTTACTGCAAACTTTGGATTCCTGACCGTGCAGGAATCTATATTTAATAAACATACAATCTTGTTCTGTTTGCCTCTCCACAGGTACTACCCAGGTGACCAAGGGAGTTAAAGAAGTGGCAACGCTGTCCTGTGGTCACAATGTTTCTGTTGAAGAGCTGGCACAAACTCGCATCTACTGGCAAAAGGAGAAGCAAATGGTGCTGACTATGATGTCTGGGGACATGAATATATGGCCCAAGTACAAGAACCGGACCATCTTCGATATCACTAATAACCTATCCATTGTGATCCTGGCTCTGCGCCCATCTGATGAGGGCACATACGAGTGTGTTGTTCTGAAGTATGAAAAAGATGCTTTCAAGCGGGAACACCTGGCTGAAGTGATGCTATCGGTCAAAGGTTGGTGGGATTTTCAGACTTTACTCTAGGCCAGCAGATTCTTAATGTCCTCATAGACACATGGCTATTGATTTAGGTGACAATGTACCAAAGAGGGATGTAATCTCACTTCATTTCTTGGGGTTAAGACTCTAGTTGTACGATAAATCCTAACTGGTTTCACAAGATGTCCTGGTAATATCTGTTAACTTGCATTTCTTGTTCTTTGACAATCCAAGTTCGTAACAACCATCCTGGGGCACTGTAATGATCTAAAGAGCCTCTCAATTACCAAGGGGCATCTTTGATTTGATGTAGCCTTTCTATTAACTGCACAAGTGCAGTTATATATGCCTGTAAAAGCATGCTGAAAATGTAACAGGGCTGGGCATGGTGGTTTAGGCCTGTAATCCCCAAAATTTGGGAGGCCAAGGCGGGAGGATCATTTGAGCCAGGAGTTCAAGATCAGTTTGGGCAACATAGTGAGACCCTGTCTCTACAAAAAATAAAAAAATTAGCCGGGTGCCAGGTGTGGTGGTACATGCCTGTAGTCTCAGCTACTTGGGAGGCTGAGGTGGGAAGATGGCTTGAGCCTGGAAGGTCAAGGTTGCAGTGACCTGGGATCATGTCACTGCACTCCAACCTGGGTGACGGAGCAAGACCTTGTCTTAAAAAAAAAAAAAAAAAGAAAGAAAATAAATAGAAAAACCCAGGCCAGGTGTGGTGGCTCATGCCTGTAATTCCAGCACTTTGGGAGGCCCAAGTGGATGGATCACTTGAGGTCATGAGTTCAAGGCCAGCCTGGCCAACATGGTGAAACTCTATCTCTACTAAAAGTACAAAAATGAAAAAAACAAAAAGTGATTTCTATGAATGACGCCATTTAATTCTTACAACCACGGGTATTAGTATCCCTATCTTATAGATGAGCAAACTAAGACTAAAAGTGGGTAAGTTATTGACCCAGTATCACAAGGCAGAACTGGTTTTAAAATCTGCTCTTGATGACCATATACTACATGACATCTCTGTGGGATGCAGATGCTGCAAAGAAAGCTAACTCTATGGGGAGACTGAACCCCCACATTCATGCTAAGCAGTTAAACTCTATTTTTTTTTTTTTTTTTTTTTTTTTTCACAAACCCTTGTGTCGAGGGCTGACTTTCAATAGATCGCAGCGAGGGAGCTGCTCTGCTACGTACGAAACCCCGACCCAGAAGCAGGTCCTCTACGAATGGTTTAGCGCCAGGTTCCCCACGAACGTGCGTTGCGTGACGGGCGAGGGGGCGGCCGCCTTTCCTGCCGCACCCCGTTTCCCAGGACGAGGGGCACTCCGCACCGGACCCCGGTCCCGGCGCGCGGCGGGAGAAGTTAAACTCTTTACATGTAAGAATATATCAGGAAACCATTAGGGGATCTTTCTCCTATGTTCTCTATTTATTTTCCTGTACTTTGTACTTTACTGTCTTACGGGGAACAAATATATAAACGAAAAAGTGCCTCAAGTGTCTTGGAGGAATGCTAGGAAGACCTTCCTGTCCCTTGAAGGCATATCCGAATAGTAAGGAAATCAATAAAGTATAGTGGATGAGTTTATACGCTGAAGGTTGTAGTTGGGACATAGGTTTTTCTGAGTAAAAGACTACTTTTTAAAATTTCAACCAGGTATTATATTAGTCTGGCAACTGCAAAATATACAAATTTCTGAAAGGCATCTCCTGTTTGAAAACTAGCATAGCTTCATACCAGGAAATTAATTCAGACAAATATATAAACACAGAGAAGTCATAAATTACACATGGAAGGCTCCCAAACCAATTAACAACTAAACTTAATCTATACAGCTTTCTATTTTTTAGGCTTCCTTATACATATTAAATAAATAAATAGCATGTCTGCTATCAAAATAAAAAATTGAAATGAATTCAAAAGAATTTAATTTATTCAAATAAATTTCAATTATATTTTCAAATGAAAATATCACTAATGTGGTTCACAGTTTTTCTTCTCACCTAAAATAAAGAGCTTTGTCCACGGTCTCAGAACAGAATAAAGAGAGGGGAAAAAGGCCGGGCGCGGTGGCTCAAGCCTGTAATCCCAGCACTTTGGGAGGCCGAGGCGGGTGGATCACAAGGTCAAGCGATCGAGACCATCCCGATCAACATGGTGAAACCCCGTCTCTACTGAAAATACAAAAAATTAGCTGGGCGTGGTGGCGCGTGCCTGTAATCCCAGCTACTCAGGAGGCTGAGGCAGGAGAATTGTCCTGAACCCAGGAGGCGGAGGTTGCAGTGAGGAGAGATCGCGCCATTGCACTCCAGCCTGGGTAACAAGAGCGAAACTCCATCTCAAAAAAAAAAAAAAGAGAGGGGAAAACCCATCCAGTAATAAATACACAAAGTTAAAAATACTGGTCCTGGGTGTTTTTTTTGCGGGGGGGATGGTGGTGTTTGGTGAGAATCAGTAGAAGCAAAACCTCATGACTATAGTTCAATGCCTGCCCCCCACTCAGATGCACACAATGTCTCTTCAAAAGGCAGGTCCCAGGCTTGCAAATCAGGCAGCATTTTCCTTTCTTCAAGATCTCCTCTCCCTGACCAGATTTATGTTCTCTCTCCCCATCTAGACCCTTTCCAAACGAAAGTTCTATGTTAGGCAAAGACTTCTCTATTTTTGCATTGAGTTTAGGTAGTCGGAGAGGAGAGGGCAATGTTCAAAGGATAAGGCCAGAAAAGACAAGAGAAACCACTCTCAAGAGCAAAGCGGCAGGCCCCTTATGTAAAAGACAACCTTTTAAAAAGCACGGAAATGTTAACCACAAATTTAGGGTAGTGATACACTTAGGTAAGGGAAAGAGAGGGACAGGATAGGTGACACCATAGCAGCAGATTCACCTAAGTTACTGCCAGTGTTTTGTGTGTCAAGTTGGAGGATGGGTTTACTGGTTTTCACTATAGTTTAATAAATAAATATCTAACATAGAAGAAAGCCACTTGTACACCTCAAGTAATCAGGAAGAAAGGAAGAAAAGAGAAGAAAAGGAAAGGAAAGAAAGGCAAGGACAAGAAAAGACAGGCTCTGGTGTCAGACAGATTTGAATTCTGCCATTACTAGTTGGGTATAATTTCTCTAAACCTGTTTGAATACTTATAAAATGGAAATAATACTAGGTTAAATCATGTGAAATTATTGATCTTTGGCCTCTTTTGATCTACAACTTACCTCTTCAGGGTTTCTACGAAGACAGAATGAGATAAGGTCCAGAACTAACAAACAAGAGCTCAGTAAATGTCTACTACTTTCCTTTTCATCTCTTAACAACTGCAAGTACTCTGGCAACATTTATTCACATGAAGCTACTTCTCCATTCTCTAATAAGTGCCCTCCTATCTCCGTCAAAAGTGGTAAAGAATTGATATAACTAATTTAAATCAAAGTTTTTGAATTATGTATAACTATTAATGATTAATGGGAAGTTGCAAATTATATCTCATTTTATCATTTTTATTTGTTCTGTTTTTCTGAGATGGAGTCTTGCTCTTTTGCCCAGGCTGGAGTGAAGTGGTATGATCTCAGCTTACTGTAACCTCCAACCCCTGAGTTCAAGCGATTCTCCTGCCTCAGCCTCCTGACTAGCTGGGATTACAGGCACCTGCCACTACACCTGGTTAATTTTTTTATTTTTAGTAGAGACAAGGTTTTGCCATGTTGACTTGTCTGGTCTTGAACTCCTGACCTCAGGTGATCCACCTGCCTTCGCTTCCCAAAGTGTTAGGATTACAGGTGTGAGCCACTGCACCCGGCCTTTCATTCCTATTAAAGCTAAAAAATTATTTAAAAATAAACCTCTACATACGTAGGTTTGTAACTATATGTAATTCTATATTCTTGTTCTTTCTTTAGCTGACTTCCCTATACCTAGTATAACTGACTTTGAAATCCCGACTTCTACTGACATTAGAAGGCTAATTTGCTCAACCTCTGGAGGTTTTCCAGAGCCTCACCTCTCCTGGTTGGAAAATGGAGAAGAATTAAAAGCTGTCAACACATCAGTTTCCCAAGACCCTGAAACTGAGCTCTATACTATTAGCAGCAAACTGGATTTCAATATGACAACCAACCACAGCTTCATGTGTCTCATTAAGTATGGACATTTAAAAGTGAATCAGACCTTCAACTGGAGAACACGTAAGTGACATTGTTCCAGGGAGTTTCTACTATAGAGAATCTAAAAAGACAATATAGTCATGTGTCAGTTAATGATGGGGATACATTTTCAGAAATGCATCATTAGGCAATTCTGTCACTGTCGGAACATCAGATTGTATGTTCATAAACCTAGACAGTATAGCCAGCTGCACACCTAGGCTACATGGTACAGCCTAGTGCTCTGAGGCTACACACCTGTACAGCATGTTACTGCACTGAATACACAGGCAGTTGTAACATAGTAAGTATTTGTGCATCTAACCATATGTAAACATAGGAAAGATACAGTAAAAATACGGTATTATAATTTTATGGAATACCATCATACATGCCCTCTGTCGCCCAGGCTGGAGTGCAGTGGTGCAATCTCAGCTCACTGCAACCTCTGCCTCCCGGGTTCAAACCATTCTCCTGACTCAGCTTCCTGAGAAGCTGGCATTACAGGTACGTACCACCACACCTGGCTAATTTTCTTGTGTTTTTAGTAATATGCCATTTTTATGTGGCCTATTACTGTAACTCAGCCAGACACATTTTAGAATTGTCATATTTACTTTGATAGTATTTCAAAGCTGCAGTGAGCTATGATCATGCCCCACACTCCAGACTGGGCAACAGAGTGAGACACTGTCTCTAAAAGAAAAAAATAAAACAGGCCGGGCGCGGTGGCTCAAGCCTGTAATCCCAGCACTTTGGGAGGCCGAGGCGGGTGGATCACGAGGTCAAGAGATCGAGACCATCCTGGTCAACATGGTGAAACCCCGTCTCTACTAAAAATACAAAAATTAGCTGGCCATGGTGGCGCGTGCCTGTAGTCCCAGCTACTAGGGAGGCTGAGGCAGGAGAATTGCTTGAACCCAGGAGGCAGAGGTTGCGGTGAGCCGAGATCGTGCCATTGCACTCCAGCCTGGGTAAATAGCGAAACCCCGTCTCAAAAAAAAAAAAAAAAAAAAAAGAAAAAAATAAAACAATTTAAAATAAACTTAAAAAATAAAGTCACTGTGCAAGGCGTAATGTTACTAATTTTATTTTCTTTTAATAAATCTTCTAAAATTTATATATCCTAATAACCACTATCCATCAAGCATTCATCTTAAAAATTTATTGTAACAATATTGTGATTGAAAGCATTAAAATGTGCCCTTTGAAACTGCCCTTAGGGATTTGGTACTTTTTTTTAGGGCATGCTACCCACATGGTTCCATGGTGCCAAACAATTATTTTTTGTGTGAGTTAATGTGCTTATTAAGTACTACTGGTTTCTGAACCAAGTCTGTCTTCTCTTGAAGACAATGCCTGAAAAGAGGTCATTTTGGGACAAATATTTTAGCCTACTGGTAGTAAACTTAGAGAATTTCCTTTCCTCAAGAGGTGAAGCCATTTGAAAATATACAATGAAAAAGTTGGGTTTATATGAACATATGCATCATAAACTTATGATGGCTTAAGATGGCTTGCAGGGGAACAGATGTAGTTGAGAAGTTGAGAATTTATTTTAGATGGTCTAGCAATTCATGCTAGTATATGATTTACTCTAGATCTTTCGGTCTGACAGCAGATTCTTTATTTTCCTCAATAAAATAAAATTTCCTGGGAAAATTAGTTCAAATATAAACCAAACTTTGATATGACTTTATAGATACTCCAAACTTACCAGTCTCAGTCATCTTTTATGTATGGTAAAAATTTTATTAAAATGAGGCTTGAATCATAAAGATAGTTTAAGTCTCTATTTTTACTTTCTTGTTATAGTATTATTAAACCAATTTTACATTATTCTGTTTGAAGGTATAAAGCAGTACAGAGTACTGATTATTAAATCAGTAATACTAGCTTGAATTGCATTTTGATTTGGACTTTTCTTTTTTCTTTTTGAGATACAGTCTCACTCTGTTGCCCAGTCTGGAGTGCAGTGGTGCAATCTCAGCTCACTGCAAACTCCGCCTCCTGGGTTCAAACAATTCTCCTGACTCAGCCTCCTGAGTAGCTGGCATTATAGGTGGGTGCCACCATGCCTGGCTAATTTTTTTGTGTTTTTAATAGAAACGGGGTTTCACTATGTTGGTCAGGCTGGCCTTGAACTCCTGACCTTGTTATCTGCCGGCCTCAGCCTCCCAAAGTGCTGGATTACAGGTGTGAGTGACTGCACCTGGCTGACATTATTTATATTGGAATATGGATATATGTGGACAGGACAGAGATTGGCAAAATTTTTCTGAAGAGAGCCAGATAGTAAATATTTTAAGCTTTGTAGTCACACAGTCTCTGCTGCAACAATTCATCTCTGCTGGTTGTAGCACAAAAACAGCCACAGATAAGACATAAATGAATGACATGGCTGTGTTCCAACAAAATTTATTTATTTCTTTGTTCACTCTTGTTGCCCAGGCTGGAGTGCAATGGTGCAGTCTTGGTTCACTCCAACCTCCACCTCTGGGTTCAAATGATTCTCCTGCCTCAGCCTCCCAAGTAGCGGGGATTACAGGTGCCTGCCATCACGCCCAGCTAATTTTTGTATTTTTTTGGTAGAGATGGGGTTTCACCACTTTGGCCAGGTTGGTCTCGAACTTCTGAACTCAGGTGATCCACTTGCCTTGGCCTCCCAAAGTGCTGGGATTACAGGCATGAACCACCATTTTTTTTTTTTTACAAAAGTATTACTACTTTTATTCATCTCTTTGATATGCTCAGGTATGTTAGGTTAATCCAGCTTTAAAATTAGGTACAGGAAAGAAGAAACTTCTTTACGGAGCATTCTCTATGCCAAATGTTATCAGTAGGTGACCTATCCCCCCAGTCTCTTTATTCATCTATCTATCTTGTATCTATCTATCTTCTTACATCTGTGAGGCAGGTATTATTCCCCAATATTACAGTTGAGGACACAGCAGTGAGGGCTCATAAAACCTTGTCCAATGTCACCAGAGCAAACTCACAAAATTTCATTTTTAAAAACAGGTGGCAGGACAGGTTTGGGCCATGTGCTATAGTTTGCTAACTTAAGGGTTTTTGTCTTTGTGATTGGAGAGCTGTAGGGTATAAATATCTCAAATCTCATTAATTGGACTGTGTGAGGATTATTTAGAGTAACAGTCAAAAGCAACTAATGCATTTATGGGATGTCAAGGGCTGACTGCACAAACAAATATACATTAAGTTCACAGAAATGTTATAGGTCAATGTGAGTACAGCATTGATGTGTAAATGTATCAGCCTGTTTTCATGCTGCTGATAAGAGACATACCTCAGACTGGGCAACTTACAAAAGAGGTTTGGACTCATAGTACCACGCGGCTGAGGAGGCCTCACAATCATGGCAGAAGGCAAGGAGGAGCAAGTCACGTCTTCCATGGATGGCAGCAGACAAAAAGAGAGCTTGTATAGGGAAACTCCTGTTTATAAAACGATCAGATCTCATAAAATTCATTCACTATCATGAGGACAACACAGGAAAGACCCACCCCCATAATTCAGTCACCTCCCACTGGGTTCCTCCCATGACATGTGGGAATTGTGGGAGTTATAATTCAAGATGACATTTGGGGTGGGGACACAGCCAAACCACATCAGTAAATAACTGATCTGAAAAAAAAAAAAAAAAAAAAAAAAAAAAAAAAAAAAAAAAAAAAAAAAAAAGCCCAAATGTTATTAATTAAGCAGATTGGGCATATGATTCTTTTTAGTGTAGTCCTACCAAATTTGTTTTCCCTTGATAAACTGGAAGGGGATAAATCTAGGAGAGTTGTACTTATGGTATCTAATAAGCTACATGTGCAGATGCCCTCACACAGCTGTGCACCTTGGATTCTGGATCTGCCTCTGTTACCAGGTTTCTAGCAGGTATCATGACAGAGCTGGCTTGATACTACTGAGGTCTCCTTCATTCCCTCACACACATACTCTCTCTAGGTTGAATGAGACTTGTAGATGGGTGTGGAGTAGAAACCAGGAATCAGCTGAAGCCTGTGAAACTTCTAGACTCCTTGGATAACAGCATTGGCTTCTTTGTTATTTTTTGTGTCATTCTAGTCTCTAGAGGTCAGCTCTGGTAATCACCTGATGTCTCCATGCAATCTGGTGTTTTAAGAGAAAAAAGAAAAACCAATTTTCCCTAGTCTTTAAGTGGTAGGTACACTATGATAAAATATGTGTTTTTGAATGATTACTGTGATAGCAATGTGCAGGAGTTAGTAGAGCCTAGGAAACCTGAAGCAAAGAGACCAGTTTGTAGGCTACTAAGTGGGAGATGAGAAAAATCTCAACTAAGGCAGTTGCTGCAAGAGATTTGGGAAAAAGCAGTAAGTTCCAGAGATATTCTGAATATAGAACAGAAAATACATGGGAGCCTACTGGGAAATGAGCACAAAGAAAATACCACAGTCCTACTTGGGTAACTAAATGGTATTGTTATTAACTGAAATGAGAGATACAGATGGTAGATATGATTTAGAAAATGTGCAGTAAATTCAGCTTTAATCAGGTGGAGATGCTGGGATCCATCCAATATATAAATTTAGAAATCAGATGACATTTCCTTTTTTTTTCTTTTTTTCTCTCACTCTGTCACCCATGCTAGAGTGCGGTGGCATGATCTCAGTTCATTGCAACCTCTACCTCCCTGGTTTAAGCAATTCTCCTCCTTCAGCCTCATGAGTAGCTCAGATTGTAGGCACACACCACCACGCCCTGATAATTTTTTGTACTTTTAGGAGAGACGGAGTTTCACTATGTTGGCCAGGCTGGTCTTGAACTCCTGACCTCAGGTGATCCACCCACCTTGGCCTCTCAAAGTGCCAGAATTACAGGTGTGAGCCACTGTGCCTGGCCTCAAACGGCATTTCAAGTCTCGGGTGTGAAGGATATCACCCAGGAAGCCTGGGGCCAGTGAGGGCCAAATGGGACCACAAACAGAACCATGGGAACAACAATAATTAGAGGACAAAAAAAGGAAGAAAAGCCTTCAGAGAAAACTGAATGCAACAAACAGAAACAGAAGGATATGGTAACATAGAAGTCCAAGGAGAAGAGTCCAACTAGCCAAATGCTGATGAGCAGTCCAATAAGCAAAAGAATAAAACTAGACCAGGCATAGTAGCTCATGCCTGTAATCCCAGCACTTTGGGAGGCCGAGGTGGGTGGATCACCTGGGTCAGGAGTTCAAGACTAGCCTGACCAACATGGGGAAATCCCATCTCTACTAAAAATACAAAAATTAGCTGGGTGTGGTGGCATGCCCCTGTAATCCTAGCTACTTGGGAGGCTGAGGCAGAACTGCTTGAACTCAGGAGGCAGAGGTTGTAGTGAGCCGAGATTGTACCACTGCACTCCAGCCTGGCCTGGGCAACAGAGTGAGACTCCATATCAAAAATAAAAATAAAAAATAAATAAAACTGACCACTAGGTCTGGTAATCAGAAAAGTAAAAACAGTAAGTTAGTAAATATTCACTTATTTGTAAGCCATTTCAGAGAAACTAAATGAGCTGCTATAATTTGTGTCCCTGCCCCTTTCCCAGATGTTGCTGCTAACTATTCCTCAAAGCAGCTGAAGAATAAATAGTGTAGCTGCTGCTCCTAATCTGGGGGGATGAACCAGAAGCACCATATCCACCATCACCTTTCTCCTCCCCACACTCATCCTTCCTTGGGCATTTCTTGTACTCTCTGTGGGACTGAAACTACAGCTGATAACCTTCAGAGCTCTCTTCTAGGATGGTCCCACCTAATACCAAGCCATATCCACACTTGGTTTTTTGCCGGACTTGTTCTGTATTTCCAGTAGCTCTAGGCTACAGGGTGAAAAACCTGTATCTGAAAGTGAATACAAAGTGGCTCCTGTAGCTTTAGGGCAGCTACTGTGAGGTAAGGGTGTGTGTGTACGTGTGGAGACAGAATATGCTAAGACAAAGGGAGAAGGCATGACAGAGCTAGAGACAGAAAAATAAAGTATACCTAGAACACAACATCAACCCATTAGTAATAATACATAGTTATAATCAGCTATAAAAGTGAAATATGACAAGATGGTTTTTAAAAGACTTTCTTAGAGTCTTCCTTATGTCTACTTAATTCAGTAAATGCAGACATTCAAAGTGTCTTTTTCAGTTTTAATATATCTGACATCTGAATATTAGTTGCCCCCAAGTATGCACCTGATTGAAGAATTATTCAAGAAAAATGCTAGCAGCTGCGTACTGGAGAGCTTGCCAGGCAAAGAATACTCCACAGTTGCATCAGTAGAAAAGGCACAGAATGAATTATCAGGCAGTAGCAAACACATTACAGCTGACGTTATTCTTTTCCCTCCATAGCCAAGCAAGAGCATTTTCCTGATACCTCGCTCCCATTCTGGGCCATTACGCTAATATCAGTAAATGGAATTTTTGTGCTTTGCTGCCTGACCTACTGTAAGTACTATCACACTATTACCCTGATTTCAATTCTGGAAGACCAAACTCTTATTAGTATGGTTCAGCATCTTTCTGAGGTTTTAGCCTATTCTTTTCTCATGTTTATAGCAAGTTTATGCAGTTCTGTTCATTCACTGGACATTTTCCGGACACCTCCTGTATGTGTGGCACTCTACTAGGCACTGGAATTACAAAGACAAGAAGTCATCACCCTCAAGGCACATTCTAGTTTAGTCCGTTTATTTTTTCCCTAACTTTATATATTTTTGGAGACTGAGGTTTGCTATTTGAAAACGTTCTGAGGCTAAATGGTATTCTATTGTTTGTGTGTGTGTTTTTTTTAAAGGCTAGTTGATTTGGCAGGTAAGTTGTTACGAACTCCTTAGTGAATTCCAACTTCCATGGTCACCATCCTGCTGTTATTCTAATTTTGAGTTGGAGTTAGAGAAAAGGCAAATTGACAAATTTTGGGGCCAAGAATCATTTTCTTGGCGGAAGGCAGGATGCACTAATATAGTTGAGAAACTACATGGCTACAAGTGATCTTCCCAATTCTCAGTTCTTAGGCGATGGCTCACGCCTGTAACCCCAGCACTTTGGGAGGCCAAGGTGGGTGGATTACTTAAGGTCAGGAGTTCGAGACCAACCTGGCCAACATGGTGAAAACCTAGCTCTACTAAAACTTACAAAAATTAGCTGGGCGTGGTGGCGTGCGCCTGTAGTCCCAGCTACTCAGGAGGCTGTGGCAGGAGAATTGCTTGAAACCAGGAGGCGGAGGTTGCAGTCAGCCAAGATTGCACCACTGCACTCCAGCCTGGGCGACAGAGCGAGACTCCATCTCACAAAAACAAATTCTCAGTTCATTAGAATACATTTTTGGATGAAAGATCTGGAGTGGTTGATGAAAAAAAAATTTCTAAGATATTTTACCCTATAAATTTATACTTTGGGTGTTAGGCATATGCTGCCCTCAATCTCTGTGAATAAATGAAGAGGAGCTGCTAAGTGATATGGCCATCATCACTATGAAGAAATATCTACTCTTCTTTGAGTAGAAAGCATGTACTCTGATCAAATAAAATTGGAAGATCAACATATGCTGATTTTTCCAGGTTTTAGAGTGTGTGCACACACGCACGCATGCGCGCGCGCACACACACACACACACACACGCCAAAGCTCAGTGAATTCCTTAGAGAGTCTGTGCTGTTAACAACTTTTCCCAAGGGTAGGATAAAAAGGTGGGCTCAAGGATGTTTCTGATACCAACTATCCAGTCTTACCTCTTTAATTCAGGGTTTTTCATCCTCAACATTACTGGCATTTTGGGCAAGATAATTCTTTGTTTTGGAGTGCTGTTCTGTGCATTGTAGGATGTTTAGCAGCTTCCTTAGCCTCTACTCATTACATGCCAGTAGCACTCCTTGCCCCAGTTGACAACCAAAAATATCCCCAAGCATTGCCAAATGTTCCCTTGGTAGAGAGGTGAAGAGGTAGCATTGTATCACCTCTGGTGTAAGAACCACTGCTCCAGTTCTAAGCCAGTGTGAAGCACTGCTGAACATTAATATATGTGCACAATTCAAGGGAAATTTGCTTATCATTTTTACTGTTTGTTCTTGTCTCCAAGGCTTTGCCCCAAGATGCAGAGAGAGAAGGAGGAATGAGAGACTGAGAAGGGAAAGTGTACGCCCTATATAACAGGATCCGCAGAAGCAAGAGGTTGAAAAAAACATCTGAAGGTAGCCTCCGTCATCTCTTCTGAGATACATGGATTGTGGAGATCATGAGGCACTCTTCTCTTCCTCTTAGTACTAAATTTAAGCTGCTTTACTTACTACCTCACCTTCTCAAAAACTTTTCAGGTTACACTAAGCAGACACAAGATGTCTAGCATCTCTTTCCTTTCTCCCCACATTCAATTTGCTTAATGCAACCTCTTCTTTTGCCAGGTTTCCATACTGCCATCTTGAAATATTCCTCTCTCTGTTAGCCAATTCAATGATTTTCATTATTTATAAAACACTAGTTTGAGTTCATCATGCCTGGGCTAATTTCTTAATCTTATCATTCCTTTTCCCCTATATCTCTCGGTGTTGATGGATATGGATTAGGGCCACTTTGTATTAACATGGTAACTAACAGACTCATCCTACTGACCAATCATGGAGCCAAATTTCATAAAGAACTACTCTGTCATGTCATTTTCCTACTCAGAAACTCAGCAGAGAACCCAGTGCCTACAGGAAAAGCTTCAAAACTTTTTAACTTTCCACATTCCAGCTGATCTCTTCAGTCTAAATTCCCTGAGTTCTGTCAATTGTTCCTCACATGGTATAGTTTCCAGTGTTTCACATGAATGGGGTAAATAGAACCCAAGACTTTAGATTTGGTATTACTGACTCTACATACAATGGGATAATTACTATCTGGGGTTCGGAATGTTTGTCTTGTTAAGAGAGCCTAACATAGCATTAGCTTTAGTGAGTCATAAATCCCCAGGAATTTTCATGCAAGAGAAACTTATGTGGGACATTAGAATCCAAGACACTGACTATCAGGTTCAGGGTAGTTATAAGCCTCCCTCAACAGTTCAACTTTGACTTGTGAAGGTTGGAGTAACACCAGCGTAAGAAATTAGTCTACAAAACTATCTCTAAAAATAGAGGAAAGCAAGAATTGTCCTGGGCAGGAGGGGGAAATAGAAAGAAAAAGAAACAATAACACCTGGGACTTATACAACAGGTTGTTTTGCAAAAGCACTATTTCATCTTGTCCTATAAAAATCGTTATGAGCAAGATCAATTTCCATTTTATGGGAGAGAAACCAGAGGTTCCCAGCGGTTGAGTGATTTGCTTGAGGTAAGGCCATACAGATGAGGAACAAAACCAAGGTTCAAACTGGACATCAAGTCAGGCTCTGTTCACTACAACCTGGCAGTCTATACATATATTACCCCAAGGCAGTCTCCCAACTTCCTATCCTGTTTTCTCATTTCCACTGAATGCTGGCTCACTCCTCAGAAGGTCCTCTTCAAGATGTTGCTCTGGCACAGTTGTCATTATCTACAATTTTCCTGACTTTCTATTTAAATAGTCTTCTGCTCAGTCTACTGATACTTGAAAATAAAGCCATGTACCCAGTCTTCTACACAAGGCCTTCTGTAACCATCTTGTCCAGCTCAAGCAGTTCCACCTCTATAGCACATCTCATACCACCACCATCGGTTGGTTTTCATGTACCACATCTTCCTTCTGTCCTCTACTGGACTGTATGTAGGCTTATTGAGAAAAGGAACCGTGCCTGATACATCTTTATTTGCCCGACACATAGAAGAGTGTCTTGGTGCTTACTAAACATTTGCCTAATCAATATTTCATGTGATAAAAATTGCCAGAGTAGTTCTAAATTCTATCATAATTTAGCCCTCTCTTCATATTCTTCAGCTGTCAAGATTACTAAGTACAAGTTGGGAATATCTTTGATCTTGAGATTAAATATATATTTATATATAAAGATATATAAATATTTGTATATTTTTGTATTAAATATAAAAGTTATATAGTATACATAAAATATTATATACATATGTTAAGTATATAAATATATAATATATATATTTTTTAATCTCAAGATCAAAGATATTCCCAACTTGGTCATAGTAATTTTTTTTTTTTTTTTTTGAGACAGAGTTTCGCTCTTGCTACCCAGTCTGGAGTGCAATGGCGCGATCTCGGCTCACCGCAACCTCCGCCTCCTGGGTTCAGGCAATTCTCCTGCCTCAGCCTCCTGAGTAGCTGGGATTACAGGCATGCGCCACCACGCCCAGCTAATTTTTTGTATTTTTTAGTAGAGACGGGGTTTCACCGTGTTGACCAGGATGGTCTCGATCTCCCGACCTCGCGATCCACCAGCCTCAGCCTCCCAAAGTGCTGGGATTACAGGCTTGAGCCACCAAGCCCGGCTGGACATACTAATCTTGATAGCTGAAGAATATGAAGAGAGAGCTAAATTATGAGACAACTTAAAACTACTCTGGCAATTTTTATCACATGAAATATTGATTAGGCAAATGTTTAGCAAGCACCAATATATATTAAATATATATGTATATAAATTTAAGAAGTTTTCCTCCTTTGCCAATATAGAGTTTGATGTAATCATTTATTTGTTTTCTCAGGTCCCACCTTCGCTTGCAATTGACCCCTTCTGGGAACTTCTTCAGAGGGCCAGGATTACCCCACCTTGACCTTTATGTATCTATTCTTAGGTGTTTCTTCACTTCAGTTACTTTGCAGGAAGTGTCTAGAGGAAGGCGGTGGGCAAAGAAGTAGCTCTGGTGACCTTGATAAAGGGGTTTTGAAATGTGGAATTCTTGAGTTCTGGAAGGGACTTTAGAGAATAGCAGTGTCATTAATGACAAAGGCACTGAGGCCCAGGACAACCACAATTATAAAGGCCAGAGCCAGAAACCAGATTTCCTAACTCTGGTGCTCTTTCCCTTCATCAGTTTGACTCTGGCCTGTTAACTGGTGTATACATATATATGTCAGGCAAAATGCTGCTGGAAGTAGAATTTGTCCAGTATCAGGTCAACTTCAGAAACTTAATCTGATTTCATGTTGTGGTTTACAAAAGTTCAATATCATGCATAGGTAGTATGGCATGAACATCTTTAGGATAATGGAAATATTACTGGTGTTCAGCCAGTATTCCATTTCTCATTGTGTTCTCTATTGTTGCTCTCTCACTCCCCCATGAGGTACAAAGAAAGTAGAACTATCCAAAACTAATCTCTGATATTTAACATGAATGATTTATGTACCTCAAAGCAGTAGTCAAGGAGGAAAGGGATGTTCCAAAGACTTAAAATCAATTGGTTCATATTGGACTGATAATCTCTTTAAATGGCTTTATGCTATTTTGACCTCATTTGTAATTTATGAGAAAGTTCTCATTCAAAATGAGTTCTTTATGTACTGTGTATGCACTAAACAGTAAGCTATTTTCCAATATCTAAGGTAGTAACTTTCCACAGAGTCTCCTTAGATCCCTAAGATGGCTTTTCCTCGGTATTTCTGGGTCTTTCTGACCTCAGCGGAGAACTGGAAAGACATATTGTCAGGCCTCCGTGTGGAAGCCTGGACCCAGAAAGTCTGAAGTCCTGCCTGCCTCAGCTGACCGTCCCCCCACCTGCCACCCCTCACCTATGTAATACCCCTGCCCCCTCTCCAAAAGATTTGCCCCAACCTATAAAACCAACCCCTATCCCACTGCCCTTCACTGACACCCTTTTCAGCTTCAGCCCCCCAGAGGAATAAACAACCATGTTGCTCACACAACGCCTGTATAGGGGATCTCTTCATTGAAAGTGCGTGTTTTAACACATACCCAATTGCTGTTTCTGTTACTCATGGCTCCTTTCTCTAAAACTGCCTTCCACAATACACTAGACCAGGAGTGGATGCAACTTAAGCTGCGACAGTCACATTATCATCTCAAAGTCTGGAGTTGGATAGCAAAAGATGACAAAATTTCTTAAATGCACTTCTCATGGCAGCTAAGCCACATGGCTGGGATTCAAAGCCTTTAGAGCCAGCCCATGACTTTAGCTACCTCACTATGCTGTTTCACAAACCGTGCTCCTATGTAACAACTATATTCTCAGTGTATGGCAGAGAGGTCTAACACCAACAATAGATACTAACAGTTGCTTCCTGTCAATATACTTAATTCAGCAATTCTTTTCCTTTTCATTTACTAACAATTGTTAGGTATGTTTCTGATCTAAGTAATTCCTATATTCTACAGCAGATACTTTGTCAGCAATACTAAGGGAAGAAACAATGTTGAACTGTTTCTTTAATAATGCTGATCTACTTTTTGTTGAATTTATATTTTATTTCAAGTGGCAAAGAAATCATCTCTGATTTTTATTAAGATTAAACCAAACACTACTACACATTTAGCCTCACACTGCTCCAGGATCCAAGGGTTTCACAGACCATTTGCCTTACCTGTTTTTTTCCTCTCCTCCTTCCACAATACCCTTTTAAAAGACTACATGAATAAATATACAAACTGTAAAATTCAACTTTAATCTCTTGGGAAATGTTTTATTTACTGCTATACAATCTAGGTGGGTAGATATATTCATATATGTATATATTGATAGATCGACAGACATAAATATGTATTTAAATTTAGGGATAAGTATAGTGAGAGTACAACAGCCCCGTTCTTAGTTAAAAAAGAAAAACACAAGAGCAAGCCACTGCCACCACAGGTACCAGTACTTACATTTCTCAGGCTGACCAAGGAGTGGCCTGTCTGTTGGCATTCAACAGACATGGCGGCATAGCTCCCATCAACTCTCCACTGAGTTTTAAGTTCAGAGTACTTTCAGTCCTTGTCTTGTTCATCTATTATTGAAGGGTTTCTAGGAAGGTTTAGCAGTGCTTCAATTCTCTTAGCATCATCCTCAGGTTGATTTTTCTGTATGCTACTTTCAATTTGCTCAGGGAGGCGTGCAGTCATTTGTAATCTGGCTTTCCTGTAATCAAATAAAAAGGATAAATCAAATACTGCTCCATTTCTTTAGTTCTTATGAATTTAAAACAAAAAGGACAGCATTTGTCTTTTTCTCTGTGCTTTGGTATAACAACTTCAGAGCAAACACTGCTCCCTGCAGTTCAAATACAGTAACTTCATTCTTTCACCTAACCTCACAAGCCAATTATGACTTCTGCATAACTATAATGGATACTGCTGTGGTGACAGCTCTGATCCATAAAATATTCCTAGTATGCTGGGTCCTAGAGTTCTTATAGGAGTGATGTGGGGGGGTTAACTGACACACTTTGTGCTAAGGTGTGAAGGCTTGAAGTCTCACTGTCCTCTTGCTCCCAGGGCTGAGGAACTGTAAATACCCTCCAACTCTTTAAAACTCTGTGACCAGATCTTGTAGGAACTGGAGAAAGGATATAACAATGGTAATTCTAGGTAGAGAAAAGTCAGATAGGACAACATTACAGATTTATATTTATGAAGAGTTAAAATCTAATTTCCAAATAATAGATCAGTTCTGTTTCTAAATCAAGTATTAGTGTCTTTCTTCAGTGATTACTGGGGTTATCTAAAGTTTCTTCTCACTCTTCACAAACAGATTTGGTCATTTGTTCTGTATCTCTATAGTTAGTTTTTTACATTTTCTGCTCATTAAGGCAATTTTTATTTTACTCTCAATTTGTTTGATTTTCCTATGTTATTTTCAAGCAAAGAAGTAGGCACATACAAGACACTTAAACATTTGCTGAATTAACTCTCCTTAGAAATATCACACAGACGGGGCCGGGCGCGGTGGCTCAAGCCTGTAATCCCAGCACTTTGGGAGGCCGAGGCAGGTGGATCACAAGGTCAAGAGATCAAGACCATCCCGGTCAACATGGTGAAACCCCGTCTCTACTAAAAATACAAAAAATTAGCTGGGTATGGTGGCGCGTGCCTGTAATCCCAGCTACTTAGGAGGCTGAGGCAGGAGAATTGCCTGAACCCAGGAGGCGGAGGTTGCGGTGAGCCGAGATCGCGCCATTGCACTCCAGCCTGGGTAACAAGAGCGAAACTCCGTCTCAAAAAAAAAAAAAGAAGTATCACACAGACACAAATAAACACACACATATATGCCATACAGTTTTGATACTTTCATTCTGCCTAAGTATTCTTTCCTTACTATGATTTGTTTTCATCCATTCTTTTTAAAATCGATACTAATAATTGTACATATTTATGGAGTACAAAGTAATATTTTCATAAATACACAACATGTAATAATCAAATCGGGGTAATTAGCATATGTGTCGTGTCATCGCAAACATTGATCATTTCTTTTTTCTTTCTTTTTTTTTTTTTTTTGTGAGACGGAGTTTCGCTCTTGTTACCCAGGCTGGAGTGCAATGGCGCGATCTCGGCTCACCGCAACCTCCGCCTCCTGGGTTCGGGCAATTCTCCTGCCTCAGCCTCCTGAGTAGCTGGGATTACAGGCATGCGCCACCATGCCCAGCTAATTCTTTGTATTTTTTTAGTAGAGACGGGGTTTCACCATGTTGACCAGGATGGTCTCGATCTCTTGACCTCGTGATCCGCCCGCCTTGGCCTCCCAAAGTGCTGGGATTACAGGCTTGAGCCACCGCACCCAGCCTGATCATTTCTTAGTGTTGGAACCATTCTAACATCCTCTCTTCTAGCTACTTGAAAATGCAAAATAAATTACTATTAATTATTGTCATCCTACAGTGCCACACACACTAGAACTTAGGCTTCTGCTCTAGTTGTAATTTTGTATTCATTAATCAATCCCTTAAATTCTCTCTCCTTAGACTCCTCCCTTTTCCCTCCCCAACCTCCAAAAACCATAATTCTGCTCTTTATTTCTATGAGCCCATTTTTTTTTAGCTCCACATGAGTGAGAGAACATGCAGTATTTATCTTTCTGTGGATGACTTATTTTACATAACAATGCCCTCCAGGCTCATCCATGTTCCCACAATTCTTTTTTATTGCTGAATAGTATTCTATAGTACATATATACCACATTTCCTTTATCCATTCATCTGCTGATGGACAATGACTCCATACCTTGGCTATTAAAAACAGTGCCACAATAAGGGTGGCGGTGCAGATAACTCTTTGATATTCTGGTTTCTTTTCCTTTGGATAAATACCCACTAGGGAGACTGCTGGATCATATAGTAGTTCTGTTATTAGTTTTCTGAGGAACTGCCATACTGTTTCTATAATGGCTGTATTAATTTGCATTCCTATCAAAAGTATGTGAGTTCCCTTTTCTTTCTGCATCCTTGCCAAAACTTACTTTACCTTTTTTAAAAGAGACATTCTAATTGGGGTAAACATCACCCCAATTTTGCATTTATGTTGAATACTTTTTCATATACTTCTTAGCCACTTGTATGTACTTTTTGAGAAACACAAGTTTCCCCTCAAGCTGCTCCCCACCTCTTTTTTAAAAAAGAGACAGGGTCACAGCAGCTCATGCCTGTAATCCCAGCACTCTGGGAGGCCAAGGTGGGTGGATCACGTGAGTTCTAGAGTTTGAGACCAGCCTGGCCAACCTGGTGAAACCCCAAATCTACTAAAAATACAAAAATTAGCTGGGCATGGTGGTATGTGCCTGTAATCCCAGCTACTCAGGAGGCTGAGGCTGGAGAATGGCTTGAACTCAGGAGGTGGAGGTTGCAGTGAGCCAACATCGCACCATTACACTGCAGCATAGGTAGTAAGAGTGAAACTCCATCTCAAAAAAAAAAGATAAAAAGACAGGGTTTCACTTTGTTGCCCAGGCTGAAGTGCAGTGACGCAATCATAGCTCACTGCTGCCTCGAATTCCTGGACTCTAGAGATCCTCCAGCCTCAGCCTCCCACGTAACTGGGGCTATAGGTATGTACTACTGTGCCTGGCTAATTTTCTTTTGTTTCATTCTGTCACCCAGGCTGGAGTGCAATGGCACCATCTTGGCTCATTGCAACCTCCACCTCCCAGGCTCAAACAATCCTCCTACCTCAGCCTCCCAAGTAGTTGGGATTACAAGTGTGCACCACCACACCCAGCTAATTTTTATATTTTTAGTTGAGATGGGGTTTCACCATGTTGGCCAGGCAGGTCTCAAACTCCTGACCTACAGTGATCTGACTGTCTTGGCCATCCAAAGCGCTGGGATTATAAGTGTGAGCCACCGTACCTAGCCCCTCCAATGCCGTTTATTTCTTTTTCTTGCCCAACTGCTCTGGCTAGGATTTCTAATACTCTGTTGAGTAAGACTGGTAAGAGTGGGCATTCCTATTTCAATCCAGTTCTTTGAAGGAAAAGCTTTCAACTTTTCCCTGTTCAGTATATTAGCTGTGAGTTTGTCATATATGGCCTTTATTGTACTGAGAAATAGTCCTTCTATCCCTAACTTTCTGAAAGTTTTTATCATGAAGGGGTGTTGAATTTTACCAAATGCTTTTTCTGCATTTATTGAGATGATCATATGGCTTTTGTCCTCCCTTCGGTTTATATGATATACCACATTTATTGATTTGTGTGTGTCGTACCATCCTTGCATCCCTAGGATAAGTCACACATGTTCACGATGTATAATCTTTTTGATGTACTCTTGGATTTGGTTTGCTAGTATTTTGTTAAGAACTGTTTTGTAGAATATTTTGGCCTATAGGTTATTTATTTATTTATTTATTTAATGTGCCCTTGTCTGGTTTTGGTATCAGGGTAATGATGGCCTTGTAGAATGAGTTTGGAAGAATTCTCTCATCTTCATTATGTTGGAACAGTTTGATAATTGGTTTTAATTCTCCTTTAACTGTTTGGCAGAAT